TAAAGACTACAGATTAATTAATTGAATATAATCCTTTACTTTAAAGGAACGTAATACGCATGCTCAACATGTCACCCAATTGGTAGTCACGTGACTACATTTAAAGATTTAGTGCGTCCTTCGTGTTGTACACTTCTCTTAGAAGTTCATTGATTAATTTGTACTTGATTTCGTCCAAAGTTTTCCAATTACGAAGGTTATCAACGGGCATCTTGTTATTTACTAGTTTCTGCGAACAAGAACAAGTTATTTTCGGTTAACTCGTGGATAGGGAAAATCGAGCGCGTCAAAGCGCTTTCACAGTCTTTCTATAGCGTTGCGCTTTGTTCTGGATCATTTTCACTTACTTTATAGAAATTAACTTTCTTGTTCAATGATGCTCTGGTTACAACGGAGTTCAGTTGGTAGGGAAATGGTTTACCAGTGATTCTTGAATGCTGAATAGAGAATAATAAATTGTTATAATTTAAACTAATAGTGCAGCCTTAGGTGGTACAACAAACCATAAACATTGTAACAACTCAAACACGCTGACAACTTAAAATAGGATAAATTAGAGGCAAATATCTTCATTGTATTGGTTGATATTCAACCTTAGAAATGAAAGTCGGTCTCTCCTTTTTGAATTAAATTTCTATCGCATTCAAGCTAAAATGTATTGTAATTTTAAAAGAGAGACTTTTATTTAGAATGTTATCTTATAGACGAATCGTTCACGAGTAATCTGAAGTGATAAACCTACCAAATCCTTTGCAATATCCATAAATTTTTTCAAGTCATTGCGCAATTCTAAGAGCTCTTTCGAAAGATTTCCAATCGCTCCGGGTTGTTTCTCATCGGCAATTGCATACTCCAGAGGTCTTATGAAAGTGAGCAACAACTTGACCATCCTGGAAAGGTATATATCGGCCTGTTGAAAATACCAGATTAGTAAAGATTTGTACGCGATGGTCCAAACGACATCATTTGCATCCTTTCAGTCCCCCAAACCGATGTCATCGTGTCGTACTCACCGTTTTGCCGCTAGTTTCTTGTGCTGTATAAGTCTTTTTTGCAATTGAAACGAGATCAAGTTTTAACAATTTTAAAATGCGAGGTTGTACTTTCGGGAAGTATGTAGTTGTCTATAGAAGGAATACAAGAATTATAGTTTAAGTCTTAGTAGAATGGAATGGGATGTAGATTTGTCATTTGTTTTCAGAAAAGAAAGTGCGACACGACGCCAGCTATGTTGTTTA